AAACATTCCAGGGCCTCAAATAAGAGAAAACACACTGCCTAATAACCGTGAATACAACACCCCGTTCCCAAAAGCCTACTGATGAAATCGTGAATACCACACCTGTGTGGAATTCACGACCGCATCAGGCGAGATTCGAATATGAAAATCGTGAATCCCACACTTTTTCGAAAAAATGACCTTCTACGGCAAAAAATGTACCACAGTATTATTTCTAAAAGGTAAATGATTAGATTTATCCGTTTAGTTTATATATTGGACGCCAAATGACGGAGAAAATCAGTTTTTTCCCTCTCCTGTATAATTTGCTTCGTGCGGAATTCACGATTTCATCAGGCGACCGACGACATGCGAACCAACACCAAAATCTGCTTCTTCTTCTTCTTTCCCATGGTTGGGTCAACCGTGGGGGCACCACTGCATCTGAAAACCAGCTCTCGCCATCTATTTTTGTCCTCAGCTTTCCTCAGATTGTCACCCATCGTCTTTCCTGTCCACTCTGTAATGTTGTCCTCCCATCTCATTCTCTGCCTTCTTCTCTTTCTCTTTCCTTGCACAGTTCCTTGCAGGATTGTTTTGGCAAGTACTGTTGATCTTGTGACATGTCCATACCATTTTAGTTTTCGTCTCTTCACTGTGGTCAGTAGATCTTCATATTGCCCCACTACGTTGGTGATTCTCTTTCGTACTTCAGCATTTGAAACGTGGTCTTTGTCAAGGAGTCTGCGGTAACATCTCATCTCTGTGGTCTGAATCTTTTTCTCTAATTTTGCTTTTAGTGTCCACGACTCGCAGGCGTATAAAAATATTGTGATGACCAGTGAGCTCATTAGTCTAATTTTTTAGTTGTGCGTGATGTTTCTGTCCCTCCAAATAGGCTTCAGTTTTGACAACGCAGCTGTTGTTTGCGCTATTCTGGAGCCTTCATCTGAGACGATTGATCCGAGGCATTTGAAGCTGTTGACGGCCTCAAATTTCTCGCCCCTGACTTTGATGTCCGCGTTGATGCCATTGGTATTATTGGTCATTAGCTTGGTTTTCTCGGCACTGATCTCCATGTCGTAGGCTGCTGAGGTTGTGTCCAGCCGCTCCACTTGTGTGGCGAGCTCCTGTTCTTCTCCTGCTAATCTATTGATGTCATCGGCAAAACGCAAGTTAGTGATTGTCCTGCCTCCAATACTGATTGTTCCACTGTGGTCTTCCACCAAAATCGCAACACGACAATTCATCGACTACCTTTTATATTCCTCACCCTCGTCGGATGGGAAAAGTGCCCCAGGAATCTGCGAATCAACATAGAGCGGGAAACTTCTATTGTACGCTAGGACAGACTTGGAAGCTCTGACCCCGCCAAATACCTATTGCTCTTAAAACCAAGGTGAACCACTTCTGTCTTCAATGGTCAAGTCTCATGGAGGACAGTAGGAGTAGACTGGAAAGCCTTTTCTGAGGAAGTGCAAAGAGCCACTGAGGCGAGGATGAAGACGACTAGCACTATTCGCAAAATGATGATAGAGTTCAACTACGTCCTGATATCCACCGCCACCACCCACGTTGGAACAGCAAAGCCAGACAGGAGAACACATTTCTGGGAAACACCCAAAGTACGAGAAGCCATCCACAAAAGGAACAAACTCCGCCGAGGAGGGAGAACCCGCGGAGAGAGTGGCGCGAGTCCTCCCGGGAACCTGTTAGAAGATACTGCTAGCTCGCCTGATAGTGCTTAAGTATGGAAACTGATTTAAAAAAAACAAAGACAAAAAACCCCCCAAGCAAACAGAACCCCCCCCCCACCCAAAAAAGCAACCCCCCCCCGAAAAAACCCCCAAAAACCCAAACAACAACACACACACAAACTCCCAATAACGGAAACCCTGAGACAAAATCAGCAAACGAAACGATGAAGCACAATGACGCCTAATCACCCCTGTCAGGCGGAAAGCTGACCTAGACGTAAGACACACTGGAAGGTGAGCAACCTGGTTATGACAAAATAGAATGGAAGAGTGAATAAATCACTGAAACAATCGCTAAGGGATCTTAGAAAACCCCCCGGACAGGCTCAGCCCAACTTCGCAAGCCGGTGGGGTGGGGGGAAGGTTGATTATTCAATTTTGTATGAATAATATTATAGTAAGTCTCTTGCACTTTCCTGAATCAACGACCTTTGGCTGTAACATAAAAATGTATAATTCTACAAATGAAAAAGAAAATAAGAATTACAAAGAAAAACCAACAGCTTAAAGAGACCCTCTCCCCTACCCCCCAAAAAAAACCCAACAACAACAACCCCCCCCCCAAAAAAAAACACACAACCCAAAACAAAACAACACCCCCCTAAACAAACAAACAAACAAACAAACAAACAAACAAACAAACAAACAAACAAACAAACAAACAAACAAACAAACAAAACAAAAACAAACAAAAACCCCAACAAAATTAAAAAAGCAATAAACAACAACAAAAGCATTATAAGCTACTACTATAGCATCCAAACTAGCTCGCCTGATAGTGCTTACCTGTCTGAGCATTGTTCTAAACATCTTACTTCGTATGCGGCGCGTGAGTGCCTCCCCAGACACTGCCATTGCGTAGCCCTGATGATAAAAACGGGACATGATATTCTTTACAGGACTTAAAACTGAGATGTTTTCCATGGTTGTTTTTATTTTAGATTGTTCGCAACATTTTAACAAGAAGTAGATCTACTTCAAAGTTATTCCGAATTAAACTAGATTTAACTGTGAGCAAATTTGCATCAAAAAAAAAAAAAAAAAAAATACAATCAGAAACGATCTTTTTTTTGTAATAGTTAATTAAGGGTCAACGGTTTTTTAATACCTTTGAGTATTATAACTGATTAACTACTGCTGTTTCTGTTGAATACTTTTGCTGAGCATGCCGTTGTTTGCAATACATTTGTGAGTAATTTGTGTTCATACACTGAATAATAAATTGTGTCCTTCCTTTTGCCACTTGAACCAAATTTGTGCAAATTCATAGTTTTGTAAAAAGTTGTGCTGCTGGTTTAGCGTTTATGGTGATAGGTCAGGGAAAAAACCCCTTAAAATGAAACAAGTTGTTGATTTGATTCCTAGTCGCGTCGAATCCCGAGTTATGTTCTTAAGAAAGACATCTGTAGATTTTCCCTCAAGCCACCCTTATGCAAACTGAGTGAGTGACCACATCGGGGGTCTACACTGCGTTTTAGAATTTGGTGCCAGCATCAACTGGCAGTAAAATCATCGACACACTTGCCTCCAGTTCAGGACACAAATGTTTCACCTCTACACTCTCTATGCTTTCTTCAAGTTCAATAAAAAGCAACATTCAGTTTGTTCTATAATGACTTTCTAGTTTTCAGAAAAGAACAAAACAAAACAAAACTGACGGCACTTCAAAAGCATTAAAAACTCACCTGTATGAAATATGACACAAGACTTGTGCACCCAACGAGTACAAACGCCAAAGAATACTTCTTCGACTCATGTTCTTGATCATCTATGGGTTCGCTGTAAATCTGGAGGCAGACACGGTTGAGAACGTTTATTTTAAGTAAGTCAGTGTTCCTTGCAACCTATTGTTTTAAACTTTACGTTGCTGTTTAATGCTTTGCTACACAGCCTACTCATTATGTGTTATACACATACTCAAAGGCGTTTGGCAGAGTTCACATCAAATTGTTAGAGTTCTTGGAGAAATTTTGCATAGATGGTAAAGACGTCAGAATTATAGAGAAGAATTTGTACTGGCACCAAAAGTGCAGCAAGCTAGCAATCAGGGTTCGGAAAGACATCACTATACTATACTGAAATACATAGAAGCGATAGACAAGAATGTGTCCTATAGTTATATCTGGCAAGCGTAATTAATGGGAGAAGAACATTTTTTAAAATAAAATCTAAAATATGCTGACGATACCGCTCTGTCTGCAGACAATAAAGAAAATTTAAAAAATCAATGCACATGAAGTAGTAAAAAAGCACAGTTGCAAAATAGGTCACTCATGAATGTGAAGACGACAAAGACCGCAGTAATATCAAAATTCCCACTCAAAACAGCAGACATTGAAATAGATGGTGAGCAAATAGATTTCAAGTACCTGTAAAAGGAAAAACAATTACTTAAGACGGGAGAGGTCACACAAAAAACTGCAATAAGAGCAGACATAGCAAAAGGTAAGCTCAGTGAAATGAGCAAGCTCATCAGATTTCATTACCAGTTAGACACTGTCTGCAGAACGATTGCGTATCTATCTATCTATCTATCTATCTATCTATCTATCTATCTATCTATCTATCTAT